ATAAATTTATTTATGCATGCGCATTATGCAGTTTATAATGTATGTTAATGAAATTTGTAGAATTTGATTTATATGTCAATTTGCAAAAGAAATAAATAATTTTGGTAAAAGGGCGAAGCGAGAGACAGACTGCTACGACTGCGTTAGTCAAGTTAATTCAAAAACGGTCAAACACGCGAGGAAAACAGTTTTTATTCGGCGTAGGTGCCGAAAGAGGCGCGATAATTCCATTAAAATTACGCACCGCAAATATAACGCCGGGAGGTGCGTGGCGTCATACGTGTCATTAACGCTCTCGGACGCGAACGCGTGCATGAGTGCGTGCGTGCATGCACGCGTGCCTGCATACGCGTGTCCGTGGATGGGAAATGGGAGATGATTTTTAAGCGCCGCTGTATTTTACCAGCCAGCAGCGTGGTCGGACCACGTGCGCGAATATACGCTCGTATGAAATTCAACGCAAGCGGGTCCCACGAAAAATATATCATTATCGTCCGACGCTGGCCGGGAGAAAGAAATATTTTGACCTGTCCGTCCCTGTCATTTTTACCGTGGCAAAGGCCGAGACTTGAGGAATAAGGTGGGTCTATTTCAGGTATGCAAGGAGGAGGAGATCGTGTTGATGCAATGTTTCTATCGCGAGATGTTTCCCATTTATTTGCAGTAACTATTGTCTGAATGACGTAGCTATCTTTTAATACAAAGATTGTATTGATATTTTAATTGTATAATATATTTTGTTCTTGATCTTTTTTTTTGAAATTGTAACATCGGTAACTTTAGGTGCAGTGTCTCAAAATTTCACACGTGACACGATATCACAAAACGAGGCGCCAAAAACGTGAGTCGAAAAAAAAATGCGGAATGTTTGAGGATGGTACGAGATCAAAACGTTATATATGTAAAAAATCGTGTAGAGATTACGTGGATTATACACGAAGAGAGGTAGATTTCCACGAACGAGCGCCGTAAACTCGCCAGTCTCCCTCCTCCCTTCGTTCGTGTCCAGTTCCATTTACGTTTTCACTTTTATCCTTATATTTTCATACGCTTGTTCTGACTTCTGCAAACAGGTGTAGCGCATCTTATTCCGAGGCGTACGCGTGTCTCTCGTATTTTTTTTTCCTCCGGCGATGTGTGCCGCGTGTAGCATCGGCGAAGTCTCGGCGGTGGCCTCTCCTCGCCGTCGGTGCTACGGCCAAAGAGTACCGCGCGCGAGATCGCGCGCACGAGATCACGCATGTAAATAATAATTATCGAGTTCAAGCGCGCTGGAAAGATCAATTAGTTATGCCGCGAGGAGAACGTTACGTATAGTCTCGCGCGCGAGCGCGCGCGCGCTCCGAGATTGGTCGATTAGGCGAAAAGAGCGCGGCCGCGGCGGCGCGAATGAATCGCGTTGCGGGAATCGAGGGGACGATGATTTGCAAGACGCGTCTGTTCTTGGAAGAGAATCGCGCAGCGTTCGAAGCCGATTGCCGATTATCCGACGGCGAATCGGACTCCGCGTCCGTCTCAAAGTTTCAAGTTTATCGCGTGCCCGCGGTGAAATGCACGCAACAAGGATTGCAAGGATATTGTGCAAATTTTCAGCCACCAGCGGCGCGAAGTTGATAAATATAATCCACGTGCCTCCGTCCCTCCGTGACGAAACGCCCCGTTGCCGCTTTAAAATTAAAATAACGCGCATATAATTAACATTTGTAAATTTAAATAACGTCGTACACAGGAGGAGATCGGAAACTGAGCTAGATAAAGTTTATGACTCGTGGGATTGTCGCGACGGAGGGTGGGGATGAGGGGAGAGAAAAATTCTTCCGAGCGCGGCGCATTCGGTCTGTTAGAGAGAGAGAAATGCGAGCAACCGCGAGTTGTGCATGCTGGCCAGCAGCATGCAAACGCTACACGGTGTGAAATAAATAAATAAATTCATAATAATAGCGTCGTGCATACGAGGCTTATCTAACGATCGCTTCAGAAATAGCTATAACCGTTCACACCTGTCTCAACTCCTGCCTGATTATAATTTCGATTTGTAGTATTATACGCGCTTATCGATTGCGTAATGCCATGCGCCGGGCAATTAGGCGAGAAAGAAGGCCGCGTAACGTCGCAGGTATAGATTCGCACGACAGATACTAAAAACGGGCAATAAAGCGTGTCGTGATATATTTTAATGCGATATATATAAAGTTTTAAATGTTACGTAAACGCGGCGCGGTTTTCAGCGGTAAAGTTATTGGGAATTGCATCGCAATTAAATATGTGCACGCCTTGAACTTTGATGCTGCGCTCGATATTATACTTGTTATATACTCGCGCGATTTTCTCATTATCCCGCAAACATCATCGCACATAGTGATTACCTTCGATTCCGCGCAATTGTTGATTCATTTAATCGCTCCGATCTGAAGAAGTATTATAACCAATTAGGGGATTTAAATACAATGCAGATTTTATATATGTACATATATGTATTATATATAAAACGTAGCAATTTATTAAATTTAATATTGCATTAGACACGTTACGTCTAACGTTACATAATATATCACGTTTATTTTGTATAGATCAATGCTATTCATTCTAACAGTCTAAAATAAACACCTGTCCCGGAGAGATTCGCCCTAAATTGCAAATAGCCATCGATTTAGCGCAGTTATCATTAATTAATATCAATATCGAACGCTTAAATACTCGCTGTCTCGCGAGTTTAAATTATAACGGGCATCTTCATATCCATGTAACTTAAATAAACGGATTAATACGGCGACGACGAGACGTCTATTTGTCGCTTTGCCTACTTGGATTACGCGCGGATCAACACTCTCGGGGACGTAATGTCCGGCACGCATGAACTCTCGCGAGTATATCCTTTGCATGTTTAACGTCGATTCTATAGCGAAATCGACGGTTACGCGCGTGGGCCGTCAGCTTCAGAGAGGCGCATCTTCCACCGCCTACGCGCACACTTTACCCGAACGCACTCGACGTGCATTGTCGTAAAAGTCACGGGATGCTCCCGTCCTTGCGAGAGAAGGGTCCTCGCTTTTCTGAACTAAACTTAACGAGCGGAGGATGCGCGCAAGCGGCAATCGCGCGGAGCGGCTAGGTAAAGGAGCTATTAATAAATTATGAAGTCATTAATAGGGGGGAGGGGAGGGCAGCGCGGTCATTAGTTTCCTTCTTTTTATTTCTTTCTTTCCCTTTTTTTTAGAATTTTGCAACGTTTCGCAAAAGTGAGACGGAAAGGATATTTTATCCCAATTGCGACATGAGACAGGAATTTAAAAATTATAACACGGACGTCTCTCTTGAGTCTCTTGTGTTGCACAGTCGAGCCGTAAAACTTGCAACGAGTGCCCGAGCGAGCGGGATACTCCGCGTTTGAGGCATTTGCTCGTTGTACAAGGTCGAACGATAACTTTTCTATTATCAGGCAGGAAACGGATCAAGTACGTAATTTATTATAACTTCCTCTTGTTTTTGTCGCTGGTATGTCGACTTTCTTGAAGGCGGGAAAGGATTACTCTCGTAAAAAGAAAGAATTTCGTATCGGTATTAATCATGTAATTCAATATTGATTGTTGAAGTATAGAACATCTAAAGTAGACTTTGTTAGTCTAAAATACAACGACAAACTTCCAAGCAAGAATTTTAACTTTGAACAATTAATTTTTCGAAAAGCCCGACAGTGCAGAAGTAATTGCAAAAGTGTCTCGGGAAGTGTATTAATATAGAATAAAATGCGGTAGATAGTTTCTTTTTCTTCTTGCCGGCGTTTCTGCAATTGACAACTCCTTCCAGAAGCCGGCATTTCGAGAAGAGCAAATAAATCGCCCCGCGTGTCTAAGATGTTTATCGCTCGTCTCTCTCTCTCTCTCTATCGGGCGAGTTATCTCTCCCGAGTAGATTCAAACGCGCGAGAGACAGCGAGAGAAGTAATCGCGAATGTTCTCGCGCCGAAAGGATGACGGTATATTTTTGCAGGCGCTTGCATGCATAAGGAGCGTGATGCGTTTAAGTGTCGATGCGTAAGAGCGTAAAGTAGTAGCGGAATACCGCGAACGGGCACAGGCACACACCAGCCGCGCGGCGCGTGATGATATAGCCAGCTTCAACCTGCTGGCTGTGAGGGCCGAGCGCCACTCCGCGTTTATGCGCGCCGATCGATATTGAGAACTCGTCTTAATGACAGGCAACACTCGTAACGCAGGATCGCTCTCGTCCTTGCAACCCGCAGGATCCTTGCCCCTTGCACGCCGCCGAGCGTTGCGTCAATCGGTCGACCGCTCGGCCGTCCGTGTGCCTCTTTCTCGGTATCGCGCGCGCGCGCGCCTGTGTGTACGTGTAGATAATTGTATGCGTGCGTAGATCTCCGTGCGTAACATTTATCGCGACAAGCGTAAGCAAGAGAGACGTAAGTGAGAAATGCCCGAAGCCTTATACAGGATTTGCTGATAAATCGCGAGTCACAATAACTCGTCGAAATGGCTCTGCGCGATGGATAAAGTCTTCTCGTCGCGCGCGCAGGACTCTAAACGGTGCTCATTGGACTCGACGTATTATACGTGTTGTCCTCTCGATTATACATTCTAATAATAACTAGATGTTAACGGGTGACGGACAATGACGTATCGACACCTTGCGCCGTATTTTAAACTCGGGGCAAATTGCGTGACGCAAAAAAAAAAAACTATCTCATCAGACAGTCTTGCTCGTAAGACGCATCAATAACACATATATCGCGCGCTTGATCTATAATCAGCGTTCAATTAAGTGCTTGGGAAATACTGATGATTGCCTATGGTTACTGTGTCACTTTCCAGCCGGAGAGCGTGCGCGCTTTATAATCGAAGTAGGTCACAGGAAATAATCGAGAGTAATTAAAACGTATACGCGGCCGGTGTTTACGATATCGCGCCATGTCCTCTGTCCTCGATGACAATCGTCGTTCCAAGGCGATCCCGATCTAGTCTCGAATCTGTGAATGATTGCAGGCGATGAGCAGTATCGGGGCGCCGGCGGCTCGAGCAGCGGAAGCCCGCCAGCCAGCCTTTTGGTGGTTCCTCAGCCACTCACCGTAAAACCTTCCCATCCGTCGCATCTGAATTCCCATCTTGGTGGACCTCATTCGCACCCGCCGAGGAAGTACCAATGCAAGATGTGTCCGCAGGTAAGTTTCGACCAGTTCGCGCGCGCATATGCACGCCTTTAGGTGCTATTCTATAAATCTCTATCTGCTATCTCGTGTGCTATCTCTATTTGCTATACCGTGTTAATACGCGTGGTTTATGGAACCACAACGTTTGTAATTCGTCTATTAATTCTTCGACACGTCTGACGTAATTAGCGTTACATATCTATATACGCAGTAGAACGAAAGGCACGTGTATCGTGTTCTTTGTTGATATTTCTGTAAGTCTGTTGTAAAAAGTGGCGCCGTCTGAGTCTTCCTCTTTTAAGGTTGACTCCGTTTATTTCCCTTGGTCTTTTCAGTCTTTTCTAAAGGGTCCCCAGATAAACAGCAAACTGATTTATGGCGTTAATATTAACACGTTACCACACCTTTTCGCATTTCCGCGTTAATCCGGAAATAAATGGCATTTGTTATTTAGCATAGGTAAGTGGCGTTTAGACATGTTTCAAAACTTAGAAGATTTATTCAACGTCTTTATAATACACTTTGTTGCGTGTGACGTCTTTATAAAATACTCTTCTTCTTCCAAAAGGTGATACCGTTATCGATAGCCCTAAAGATCGGTGGCATTAGGGCTTTCACTATTTAGGGTTTTTTTTCTATTTAAAGAAAAGAAGAAAGGTTTGATTGTCTTTTTGTGAATTCTTCGTTGCGTGGGCGTTTTAGCTAAATAGGGTAAACTCGGGTAAAAGATGGCCATACAGGAAAGATAGCCAACCTATATTCTTTCAATCTAGCTCGCCATGAAACATTGAATGAACATGGGTTGGCTATCTTTCCTGTATGACCATTTTACTCGAGTTTACCCTAAACACGGAGTACCTGCCCATGCCTCTGAAGAATTTTTAAAGGGTTATTAACGGTATGTTCATTTCCTTTCTTCTTTCCTGTCACGCTCCTTCTGTCTAGATCTTCACGGTTTATTTTATAGTCATTTACAATACTTGACCTGCATCTTCAAGATCTAATATAAATGCATTTTATGCATGGGTATTAGAAATTTTATGCCGATTTAATGTTGAGATAATGCTTTTGTGATGTAATTAACAACGTTAAAATTTTACGATTTAAGATTATATAAAAATATTTTAAATTTTAACGCATGCTTATTTTTGTTATATAATTTTGTTATATTATTATATGATATATTATTTTTTACTTCTTTCGTCGCGGAAACAGATATTTGCGGTTAACAACGAAAGGTTAAGGCTCCTGTTCACTCACTGCAGCCAGAAGATATATCATAAAAATATATCATAAAAATTCTTGTAACGTACACTAAAATAAAAAAAAAAATTAATGAAATAGAGTTTGTAATCGATAGAATAAACTTTTAAAATATACCGAAAACTTTCCTTTTGTTTGGGTGATCAATGAATAACCCATGTATGTATCCAATTGAATTGTGCCCTAATCAAAGACGTAAACAAGCTCTGTTTGACAACTGCCGAATTGAAATAAATATTTGCTTTCACATATTAGGGAAAACGTGTACAAAATGATCCTTTTAAAGGAGAAATCAATTAATAGTATAAAATAATGTATTTCTGTTTAAATCTTTAATGATTTTTGGTTTAGTGGTTATTTAACTAAAATTAATTAAACAGAATTTTTAATTAATGCTAAATATATATTTTGTTTTTTCACCAAAATTCTGTAAAGAGATCATTTGGTACCAGAGGTGTACAGAACGATCCCTAATGTATGGACAAAACACGGTCCCTGGGGATTATTTTACTTCCAGTGTATTAAGGATGGAATAAAGAATACAAAAATACGTCAAACATTTTTTATTATCATCAAAAATATATTATTATAATTAACGTAATTAAAATTTGAACATAAAATTAAATTAAATTTTGAACATTAGATAAAACTATAAATGTCGAGTAAATAAAAATTATAAAAAGAATAAAATAAATAAAATAAAAAATTGTAGAAGTATAAAATTATAAAATAATAAATAGATGAGGGATTATTTTGTCCGAAATGACATTTCATCATTTTGATATTAAAATTCAACCTATGTACAATTAAGCCGGCAATCAAACCACTACAAAAACAAACTTAGTTAGTAGGTACTGAAGTACAGTGGTAATAATAGAGTATAGTAATCATGCATGAATGTACTTTGCCCGGTAATCAAAATTACTCTTATATTTTACTCAGATCAGCGAATTCTATATTAAAAAAATTAACTTGACGGCACATCGACGCTATTCATCATTACATTTGAGTGGCATAGTGATTCCTGTGAAGAAGTCTCTTAATGTTTCCACGAGAAGGCATTATTATTAAAATCGGTGGGGATCGTTTTACTTCGTATGTACACATTTCCTCGAACTTATATATCAAAATGAGAGTCTTCGGTATATTTTAACACTACGACAATTATTTTAAATATAAAAACACTGCTAACTAAAACGAAAAATGACGTTGTACGTTGCAAGAATAACTTATCTTTTTAATGTGATTTTTCACGCTTTTGGACCCTTTCACGCAAAAATGGCATAGCTGCATAGCATGAGACCGCCTGGACTAATAAGCATCTAACACAAGGTGTGGTCAAAATTTTTAGTTAGATGCCCATTGGTCCAGTCGCTCTTATGCTACGCATGTACAGCTATGCCATTTTGTATGAATGAGAGAACCCTTATTAGTTCACGATTTTGCCAAGAGTGATGCTGTGTGTACTGTCAACGTGGACTTGGCAATTGAGTCAGCAGGAGCCTTAAAAGAGAGAAGTGGTTGGAAAATTTGTCATTTTTCAGTAAATTTACGAGCGATTTCAATAACCTTTAGAATTTTAACTCTTTTCTTCAGGCAATTTCCATTAGAGAATGTTGAAAGAGTGCCCAAAATAATCCTTAAAAATCCCATTTTTAAGAAAAAAAATTTTGAATTGAGTAAGGTACCATCGGAAAGGTTTTCACACAAGTAGATCATTAAATAAATTGTTACGTGACGATGTTTAGTTTTTGAGATATCATGAATCAAAGTTCGAATTAAATGCCTAATTTGTCAATAGTAAACGTATTTCTTTGAGTAAAATCGAGCATTTTTTGCAGGAAATCATAAAATAATTATGACGCAATATCTGTTGCAGTTGCAGCCAAAAACTGGAATTTGATTTATAGTACAAAAGAATACAGAATTACTCGAGAAATAAAAAGAAATAAAAATAGAAATGTTTTTGCTTAAAGAGAACGCATTGCACTGCAATGCGAGAGAAATTGAATTCGATTTTCGAACACTACGTTGAGCGCATCCAAAGTTCGAAATTGGCTTTAATGGATGTTAGTTATGAAATATAATCAACTTTTACTATTTCATTCATCCAAAACGGTTCGTGATAACATGATAAAAGTATATAAGTTATATGTATTTATAATCAGTAAAAAATTAGCTTTAATCTGATTTGATTCATATTTTTTATGTCCGCTCAAAAAGGGAATTTTCTGGGCATTACTCTTTCTTTAGCGTGCCTAATAAAATTACGTTTACAAAGAGACTGTATCCTGCAGTACACAATAGAAAATACGGTATTATCTTTTTATTATTTCCGCACAAAATGATAAAATAAAACCCATAAGATGGTCATTTGCCTGCAAAATGCAATATTTTTTCATATATCGTATTGTTTTATGTACCTTGACATAACAAAAAGTATACGTTAATCTTGATTATCGATAAATACTTTACAAACTTAAAAAGTATAAAAAATTATTAATTTATTATTGACAATTCGGACATGGCTGCGCATTGAGTTATCAACGAAGAATATTCTTGGAATATCATAAAATCTGATAAGCAATATTCACAACGAACTCAGTACAAATGTTATAATAATACGGCAGCATCTTCTTGTAAGACTTAGAGCGGAAGAGTATTTCGGAGCCAGGATATCAAAGAATACACTGAAATAATTAGAGATTGTAATAAATTGATATCACATTTGTAATACCCATAGATTTTCCTAGCCTCCATATTTGATCGAGATTTCTCCAACGCAAAGATGCTTCTATCTTACAGCATGCGGGGGAACACATCATCTTATTATTAATGTCTGTTCGAGGGAAGGCTTGAGAAAGATCTTGAAACTCTTATCAAAGATGTAGCATGCCTTTTGCGGCTTTGAGATTTCGGATTGCGCACCGTAAGGGTTTACGCGAGGACGGAGTGACCTGACCTCCGAGAAAATTTCTTGCCGCCAAGTCGTGACATTTTCCGTAGCCCGTCCGGCCGTACGCGTGTTCGCCAGGTTGACGATTTATGTCTCCGATGATGGATTTCAGTTTCGCAAATTCGTTAACGCGCCGTTTTACGAGCCGTTTAGAGACAATCGTTAAAGTTTACAGCTTTCCGCGCTTTCCACGATAATTACCGTCGAACGGCGGCGCGGCGCGTCGCGAAGGAAAAAAGACGGCGCGGCGCGAGATGACCGAGAGAGAATGACAGAAAGACAGAGAGTAAGAGCTCGGCGGCGGCTCGAAGGACGCGGCGCGTGACATTCCATAAGGCGGATCGTTAAAACTTAACGATATTCACCGAATGCCTGTGTAGAATAGGGCAGATTATCATACACCGGAGGCCGGCGGAGCGCATCGGCCGGCGCTTCTCCGTCTCCCGTTTCGCGGGGAAGAGAGAAAAAAAAACGGGGGCAAAACACGAAACCCGGCGATTAAAAACCAGTTATTGCACGTATATCTGCCACGTTAGGTACAATGTGACACACGGAGGGGGTTAATTTGTCGCGGATCGAATGACATCGCTCGTCAAGAAAATCCCGCAATCTCCGCCTGTCCGTTACGTGAAATATCTCAATGAGGAACATCTTTTTTTTTTCTTTCAGACCGACCGTATACGTGTGTACGTATGTACATGCGTGATTTATTCCGTTAGGCGTTCCCAGAAGGAACGGAAGGAGCGACAGAGGGATAATCGTTAAGGTGCGGACCGATCAGCGCGGCACGCCG